CCTCTCATCAGTGCCGCCCACACCACTCAAGAGTATACTTCAAGGTCCTTACAGTGATTTAGGGCTCAGGCAGCACACAAGAATCTTCTAGCTCTACTGCTACTTCTGTCTCCCTTGCTGACTTTTCCCTCCAGCATACTGCTTCCACTTCCTTGTTTTCCCCTTAATCCTACCAAACTCATTCCTGAGTCAAGGCTTTTTTTTTTTTTTATCTCCCATTTCCCCTCAGAAATATTTTTCCCCAAATGGCTTGGGTCTGGGCTGCTCTTCTAGTTCACATTTTGAAAAAGTCTATTCTAGTAAATGGTTACCTAAAAACTCTTCTGAAAAATAGAACGTCCTACAGGACTCATCTCACTTTCTGCTCTAATATGTTTCTTACGTTATTTCTCTCCCAAGAAAATGTGTCTCATTGCTGTATACTCATGTCTAAAACAGTAAGTATTAAATATACAGGATTAATGTTTACCAAAAATGACTCAATAGGCTCACTTTTCTCAGCCTGCTTTTTTCAGGTGATTACTGTCCTACTTAAAAATTTTGCTGTGGTTCCCCATATCCCATTCAGGATGGGTTTGGCCCCAAGTTTATTCAAGCCTTTTCCTCACTTTTCAAAATAATTTGACAGTCTACACATTAATACCTTAATCATGTCTGAACCTATTGTTTTACTTCATTTCTGTGTTCTCTACACATACACCTGTCTGTAATTGGCCAAACTCTGGTGCAGTCTCTTGGTCAAGTTTTCAATCCACTGGGAGACTATAAGAAGTTGTCAGACAATTACCACAATTCTGACTAGCTGGAGTTTTGTTGTTATTGCTTTAGAGGAAGGGGAGCAGAACGGGAGGTAAAATTCTTTATAAAGAACAAAGAATAACCTCCAACTCAGGAAAATATTCATACCTCCTATTAAGTCAAAAAATGAATGAATAAATAAATAAATAGAATGAACTTTAGGAATCACAAGGTCTTATATTAGGTTCATGTTAAAATCGTCTTCCCTCAGTGCAGGCCCTGAGTAGCTTTTATCATCAGCATCTCAGAAAACTGTGTAATAGTTATTAGGGTTCTGCTTATTTCTTTCTATTCTGCTGGACAAGTGTCTGAGGCAGAACCGGCATTTAACCTTCAGCAGTTGCTTATGGGGTTGGGAGTGTAGCTCAAAGGTAGAGCTCTTACCTAACATGCATGAGGTCACAGGTTTGATACCAAGCATCATGCAAAGTTGTTTTAATTGGGCTAATATCCAGCTAAAGGCTGAAGTTAAAAAAGGTGAAGCTGTGAATGAAAGAACTGAGTGAAAGGGAGAATATACTTTTCTTCTTTTTTTAAAAATACTTATTTATTTATTATGTACACAATATTCTGTCTGTGTGTATGTCTGCAGGCCAGAAGAGGGCACCAGACCTCATTACAGATGGTTGTGAGCCACCATGTGGTTGCCGAGAATTGAACTCAGGACCTTTGGAAGAGCAGGCAATACTCTTAACCACTGAGCCATCTCTCCAGCCCCTAATATACTTTTCTTTAACTTCCTCAATTCCTTCCTCTTTAGCTCTAATTTTTGTTTTGAACTAGGCTCCAGACTTATGCACAAGATCACTAACATTCTACATATCTACAAGTTTATTAGTAGTATTATATTAACAAATCTTTATAAAAAATATTTTTTGCTTTAAGCATGAAAATGTTAAAGTAAAGTACACCAACTGGATAGTTTTGTTTGTTTCAGGGGGTTGTTCGTTGTTTTGAGATGGAGTCTCACTATATAGCTCAGAGAGAGAGAGAGTGGTATTAAATTCATGCCAGTGTTTCTGCTTCAATTTCCAGAGTGCTGGACACCAACAATACCTGACTCCCAAAAGGATATTCTCAAAAGGTTATTTTCAAATATATTTCAAGATATAGCAAACAAATTTACACAAAGCACTCACCATATAAAACATGTACAAAATAATTATAGAGCAGAAAGTTACACATTTTATAAATTTCACTTACATTTAGAATTTCCTTGTCCTGAAAATTATATTTTAATTTATATAAAGCAGTTAGAAATGAGATCTCACTATTTTCCTGAATGTATATTTTAGTTTTCAAAAGTGATAGAAAATAATCTTTGTGAGAGTACCTAGTTCTATGCCAAATCTTACATATTCTCCACATAATTCAAATAAACTTGTATTATAGAATAAAATAGTTAGAATATATAAGGAGAGAATAGTTGAGGAATTCATAGATTATTTTCTCCCAAGTTTCTTTAGAATTAACTAGAAACCTATAAAAATACAGATAACCACAAACCTACATAGAGATTTCTACACAAGTTGCTCTGAGCAGTACACAAATCTTCATTTGTATCAAAGCAGGTTTGACTGAGTAAGACTGAGAGTCATTTATTTAATAGTTTGTTGTCTTTTTTTTTTTCTCGAAGTTGAGGGACAAACCCAGGGCCCTTGTGCTTGCTAGGCAAGTGCTCTACCACTGAGCTAAATTCCCAACCCCTAACGGTTTGCTATTACACGGGGAGCGTCTAAACCTGAACTTGGGCCAAGTAGCAACAGTGGAAACACTGCAGTAAGCTCTGGAAGGCAGACAGGAAAAGCTGCTTTGGAAAGGTTTAAAATTTTCTGAGAGGATTCGGTTATCCACTTAGAAATTCAGTTAAGTTCACAAAGCTAAATAGTTGCAGGGCCATTTCTATAGCTCCCCTGTTCTGTTGGTTTTTTTTAGCCCAGGCTGGCCTCAAATGACAATCCTCCTTGGCGTCCAGAGTGTTAGTTACAAGTACAGCCCACCACATCCTGATAGTGCAGTTTCTTGATGTAGTTCTTTTCACGTAAGTTTTTTTTTGTTTTATTTTGTTTTTAAAAAGGATCTGGTTCATAGCACCACTTAACACTGGGCAAGTTTAAACTGAGCTAACTGGAAATACTTTTGGGTCCTGATTTAAAACAAAGCTCTTAATTTATGTCCTTCAAATTAAAATTTCACTTTAACTTCTAAATCAGTATTTTAAAACTTCAAATTCCACTTTAAAACAACAAACAGAAGACAAACAAACAGGGTCCTGTGGTTTAGGGCAGGCTGCCATGACCAGACCATCTTCAGGGCTCCAAATGTTGGGATTACAGGTGTGCACTCCCACATGGGGTCCAAAGTCTTTTAAAAGGCTGACAGGAACCAGGCATGGTAGTGCACACCTTTAATCCAGCTCTCTGGCCGCACAGACAGGCATTAAAGTGATCTATTTGAGTTCCCAGACAATCTGATCCACATATCAAGTTCCAGGCCAGCTAAGGCTAGGGAGACAGTGTCTTTAAAAATAAATAAATAAATAAATAAATAAATAAATAAATAAATAAATCATCGTTCTTTAGTAGAGCATTATTACTTTGATTTCTAAATTTGGTGACCTGTTATTATATAAAATATGTAATTCTACATATTCAAGTTACTCTCTCCACTAACAAATGAGAACAAACTTCCTTTAATGTTAACGAATTTTAAGTCCATTAACAAAACCCTTTTACTGGCTTATCAAAAGACTTTTCAACACTATTAGTTAATCCTAGGGACTTCCTTTTAAACTTTTTTAAAAGGTGACATTGGACTATGGATGTAGCTAAGAGTTAAAGAGTATTTGCCTATCAAACAAGAGTCCATTTACCAATACCAAAACCAGAGGCATTAATTTAAAAACTTATGAAAAATGTGTAAAATACAAGCTTCCGCACTTAAAATTTTACAAGTGCATTTTACGATCTAAAAATTGATGCATGTCTGATTTATGTCTTTCTGGAGAATATTTATTACATTATTCAAGTTGTTAAGACTTTTTAAAAATCTCTTTGAAGGTCATCATAAATTTTGATATTCCAAATTTCAATAATATTTTTTGTTTTGCTTCTGGATTTAGAAAAGTGTGTGTTATAGTTTATCAAACGCTGATCATACACTCACAATTCTTAAGTCTAATGGGTCACACCGGAACCCAATTTATACTTCTGCCTATGTCTAGATACAAAAAAGCAATGTGAGGATGTGGAGTTTCAAGTTTATATTCTAAGTAGGAGCCAGATGCATAAGATTTTGCGTCGGGAAGTAATAAAAGTCCTCCTCTGCCTCCTTTAAATGTGATTTGGCTATGAATGTAAATTTGAAATCTAACTAAAAGTTAGGTATGCTAGAGCATACTCTGTAAATGCCACCAAATCATTAAAAGGCACCAAGAACGTGCCTCTTGGAGCACAGCAAAATTTATAAAAGTAGAAAGTCAGAATTCAGCTAAAAGATCAAAATGGTACTTATCACCTAGGAAGTAGGTTAAGCTAAAATCTGTAGTCTGTGTTAACATACTCAATTTGAAAACTGCCAGTTCACATTCCTGGGGGTGTACGACTGCAGCACATGGCCTGGGGGTGGGGGATGGGAAGAAGCTTTTTTTTTCTCTCTCTTTCCTCCTAAAAACTAATCATGTTTATTTTCAGAGGTGGACTCGGGTAGGAGGCAAACATCCAAAAGGCCTACTACTGAGCCTTCGGGGCCGGTCCCCACGGGGC